ACACACACACACACACACACACACACACACACACACACACACACACAATTGGAATATTACTCAGCCATCAAAAAAATGAAATCTTGCTATTTGCAATGATGTGGATGGAACTAGAGGGTATTATGCTAAGTGAAATAAGTCAATCAGAGAGAGACAATTATATGATCTCACTCCTATGTGGAATTTAAGAAACAAAACAGAGGATTATAGAAGAAGAGAGGGAAAAATAAAACAAGATGAAATCAGAGAGGGAGACAAACAATAAGAGACTCTTAATCAAAGGAAACAAACTGAGGGTTGCTGGAGGGGAGGTGGGTAGGGGGATGGAGTAACTGGGTGATGGACATTAGGGAGGGCACAGGATGTAATGAGCACTGGGTGTTATATGAGACTGATGAATCACTGAACTCTACCTCTGAAACTAATAATATACTATATGTTAATTAATTGAAAGTAAACAAAATAAAATTTAAAAAATAGTAATAAATTATCCAGTGACTATGAGAACTCATAGGCAGATTTTTGAAATCTCAGGACTAGGTGTGCTTTCACAGAGAAATGATTTTTTTTTTTTTTTTTTAATACAACACGAATCATGTAACTAACTACTCTTATCTTCTCCCGTACTCTGGCCACTACAAAGTTTGGATCCAATTTATGGGCAAAGGCTAGCCTATAGACAGCGTCTTATGACACGTATTTTGTGGACTACGCATATTTTGTGGACTAACTTCATCCCTTTTTTTCCTTTATCTTTTAATTCTCATTTTTTCTTTTCATATTCTTTCATTTTTATAAAATATTGTATCTCACTGTATGTCGTGGATCTCTGTATATTGCCTTATACTTTCTGGAATAAGGATATATGTAAGATCTATAACTAGAATGATTTGTTTTATGCTTAAAAACAGAGTGAATGTCAAAACTGTACAAATACTGTGACAGATAAGAAAGGGAAGTACACGGATAATCACAAGCTCAGCAGGGAATTTAAATATATTTAAATGCTGCTGAAAATTACAATACCAGTTTAAAGGGTCTATTACTCAATTTGCAGAGGTAAAAATAATCATGTTGCACTTAAAATTAAGATATAAAACACAAATGAATGCAGTGAAACTGAACAGTCCTTGAGCATTTACAACAATAATAACTACAAGGTCTAGAAAAATATTATTTATGCCCAAACTATTTAGTGTACAGCTTAAAGCCAAAATAAATCATATAGCAAAGGAAAAATCAGATTTTCTATTAATAAGCCTGATAAATATTTTTGCATTTGGTCCTTAGAAAACTATATACATTATTTTTATTTTAGTTATTAGAATCTCAGAGCTAAACATACCTGGCTATGTAGCTCTCCGTATATGTTTTTCTTTTGTTTGTAAGCACACCTGAGGAAGGATTTCGTGCCAAACTAGGTGGTGTGGAATTTCGAGGTTTGATGTTAGTTCTAGAAGAGAGAAAGAGATGGCATAATGAAAAGCATACTGAATAGCAAGCATTTATTTCTTATATTGCTTATTTACATGATTAGAATAATAATTTGAAGCTGCAGAAAGGTGAATTCAAAAGAGTAAAATCCAAATAATTATTTTAAATCTGAAAACAACAGTAGTTAAACTAAGGATAAACCAAAGCATTTTGCATTTACTAACAATAACCTGATGGTAAATAAAATCAATGAAAAGAAAATATATGCTTTACATGAAATTTTAAGTTAATAATTCTGAAAGGCTTCAGGTTTTTAAAAGTTTAAATCTATAATTCCCTCAAAATAGGTGTTTTGTTAAATGCCTATGAATAACGGTTAAATAATATGTTATACATTATGAGATACGGTTAAAAACAAACAAAAAACATTAGCTAACCACTTCAATAATTTTCAATTTATGAAAGCCTGTTTTTGGAAGTAGCAACTAAAATAAATGAGTTAATATAATCTTCCCTTTTAAGACTTAATCTCAACAACTATACAGCCTGGGCTATCTGCTATCAGTAGAATTGTTCTGGTTGGATCATCACTTAATTCCCTTTATGAAACTTCAGGAATCAAAGAAAGCTTAGAGGGCTGAATGATGGTACAATGGTAAAAGCACAGGATTGGGGATTCAGATGATTCTGGATTCAAATCCCAACTGCTACAGACTAATTGGAGGTAGTGGCCAAACTGTATCCAAGTGTCCCCATTTCTAAAATATGACTATCATCACTTATCTTAGAGGAAGTTATGGATACCAATTGCAATTTATATAAACATTCAGAATAGTTGATGATGATGATGATATTATTACTATTATGGCTATTGTTACTGTTCCTAGTTAACATTTACAAAATGGTGCTTATTACTACATTTGGTATAGATTTCTAATTGCTTTCATATATAAACTTACTTAATCCTCATAATAATCCAATGGATTAAGTAGTATTAATAACTCCATTTTAGAATGAGGCAATTGAGGCAAAGAGTGGTTAAGTAACTAAACCAAGGTGACATCTAGTATGTTGCGTAACTGAGGATCATATGGTGAATAAAAAGCTAGTTCCCTCCCCCTCTTTAGAGATTTAGTCAAATCTTTTCATTTCAGAGATACGCAATATTGTGTTATATGTATAAGCAGAATACTTTTTAAAATTCCTTTAGATTGTAAGTTTTTAAACTATGGCTGAAATTCTTCCTCCTTATAAAGCAAAGTTGGAAAGTCTGAAAATTCTAAATAGCTACCTCCAAAATATATGCAGGTAATAACTACATTTACTATTTTTCAAATGTCAAATATGATGCCAGGTACTACACATACTTCACTTGGTTTAATCCTCACAGGAATCTAAGAAGATATTATTCCCATTTTAAAGTTGAAGAAGAAAATCATATTAGAGAAATTAAGTAAGCTGAAAATCTATTACAAGGCCACAGTTTTTGAAATTAGGTGGGTCATATTACAAATCTTATTATATTCAATATGCAGTGCTGTCTGTTGTTCAGAGAGAGGCTGCTTTGAATAGTTACTTTAAATTTTTTCTAAACTTTGACAACAATCACCTTGGTGCATGAATGGGTTACCCTGGCCCTCTTCAAATGGCCACTGACAGTCTAACCATGAGGTATACTCTACTCAACTCTTAAACAGCCCCCCTAGGGATGTTGTTGAATTGCTACGTACTGTTTTAGGAATTCAATCTCTAAAAAATCATTGCCAAACAATGGCGGTTCCTCCAGTAAGAGTCGTTGTTAAGAGGAATAGGAAGGACCCATTTTTTTATTTTTTGGCTCTAAAACAAAGCCTTGTTAGAAATCCTATCACTTTCATTTAACATGTACATGAGATACACGGATAATACAAACACACCTATGGACATACACACATAACCTCACCGTATCAATGAAGTTATTCAAATAATTAGAAAATAAAAATTAGAGAAAAATAAGATTGCCAACAGTAACGATCATTACTAAGTATCTATCATGTACTTTTAGTAACAATTTTAAGAGGTGGAATCTGAATGTCAAGAACCATTCTTAAGAGACAGGGAAGAACAGTCTTGATTAGTACTTAAAACATGTTGTCCCATTCTCACATGGTCAACACATTTTTGCTCCTGTTCAGATTTTGAAAAGCGCCACCCTTATTCTGTATCTGCAATCTGCTTGTTCTAGGTCAAAAACAACAAAAGAAGGTTTAATTTTACTCTACCTTACTGCTAATCAGTGTTTCTTTGAAATACGCTTCAGAGGGAATAGAGAACAACAGTACTAAGAAAAATGGCTCAGGGCACAAATTCTTCCTTCTATGATTTATCACTAACTACTTAAAAATAATGCACAGGTGCTGCTAATATTTTAAAGACTTCTCCCATTTTTATCTTAGATTTAGCTAAATTAATCCTTCTTTTCATATGTGGTAAAGACAATGCCGTAGTAGGAGTTGTTTTAAAAGTTAACTAAGTGAACTCTGTTTAATAATATATTTTTCAACTTTAATAAGTAATTTATCTTGATTCAAATTTCATCATTTTAATCAGAGAGGTAGACTTGGTATTGGAGCCCAATCTAGAAAACCCTGAAGACTTCTGTGGAAGAGTTCCAAGGTGACTGTTATTGCCACTCACCTCTCTTTGCAGCTTTTTGGGCCAGTACAGAGAGGAGAGTGTCACCTCTCTTTGCAGCTTTTTGGGCCAGTACAGAGAGGAGAGTGTCCTTGGCAGTATCTTATCCTTTCCCCGTTTTATGTGGAATTTGTAGCAATTTAACCAAAAGACTGAGAATCCCTGGATTGAATATTTTCTAAAAATCTGTTTTCTGCCTTTTTATAATAATTAATCATCTTAACTAAAAAATAATACAGCAATATTACATATTATGTATGGCATAAAATCCCCTACACTCTTCTCTTTAAACATATTACTCCTAAGGGGCGCCTGGGTGGTGCAGTCAGTTAAGCATCCGACTCTTGATTTCAGCTCAGGTTGTGATCTTGGGGTCGTGGGATCAAGAACTGTGTCAGGCTCCATGCAAGGATGGGGTCTGCGTGGGATTCTCTCTCCCTCTTCCTCTGCCCCTTTTGCCCCGTGCTCTCTCTCTCTCAAATAAATAAATTTTTAAAAATATATATATATACACTCCTAAAAGAAAGCTTCATAAAGATAACAATCATTGAAGGTGACTGCTATTTCACCCCTCTACAAGTTAAAATTTAATAGAAATAAATGTATGCTAAAAACAGCTTTATTTAGAACAGAAACGTTCATCTAACATCAAAGTGTTTTAAATCCTATAAGATTATTAAGCACTTCTTGGCTTATAAATGATTAAAATAAGATTTTTTTAAAATATAGGAATGTATAAGTTTATAGTATTCAATTATATAAAGCCTTTAAGGAAATACCTGAAAAAGATTAACCAAACTGAGTTACAAATACTTACTTGTAAATGGGTAATAACTCATGTCTTTTGATGGCACTGTCTGATTTTGTATCACTGTCATACAACGTTTGCACATATCTTCCAGTTCGAAGTGGAGGGCCTAACTTGTCCATCTTACTATTAAAATATATAAAGGTGTACCCATAAGGAGATTGCTAGTTTGTTTCTTTATATTTAAAAAAAAAGTTTTAAACATTATTCTGGTTCTTCAAAAATCTCTCCCCAAGCTCTTAATTATTGGACTGTCAGGGTTAAGCGCTGTCAAAAAGAATCCTAATCCTCAGATAGTTCATACAATGTCCACTATTAGATATGAAAATTCTGACGATGCAGGCACCTGCCAGTTGTGATGAACATCCAAACAAATGCCACATTTATACACAGCAGGGCAACGGAATCAACAAAGAAACTTAAGAAGGACAACACTGTTTAAAATAAAATTTGTGAAGCTAGAAGTGACCTTAAAGTTATTATCCTGGTAAATAAGACTGATCTGATGTTTCTTCTCATTGAGTTCACAAATAATCTAATTTTTCTCCTTCCCTGATGTCATAGTACCTTTCTCTTTTCTCTTATTATTTTATGATTTCCCCTGCACTAATATAAAGTAAGGAATCAAATAAATGATATTTATATCTTTAACTCTTTCTAACAAAGAATGACTATTTATGAAGTTTATGCAGAGAAATATAAAGCATGATGTATGGAAAAAAACAGCGATGGCAATCTGAAAAATCACATGTAGAAATGTTAAGTGGCAATGCCATCTGAAGTTTTCTTTAAAAAAAACAAAACAAAACAAAACCAAAAAGTATAAAGGAGCTCCATCTGGAGGAAAACAGGAAAAACTGCAGGTCTGTAGAGATGTCATTGTTTTCCATCAACAAAATAATTGAATCCTATATACTATTAACAACCAATATTCATTCATTGTAGGGAGCAGTGAAAATTAAATTAGGAGGGTAGGAGAACTATTTTAAATGACTAGTGAATAACACGACTGCTCATTAACTTAAAAAGGATACTCTTTTTAAGGGATGCTTGTTTGCTCCAATGCATTCTTCCACTAATTCATTAACTCTACAAATCCTGAGCACCTATCAGGCACTCTGCTACATTCTGCAGGTATCGTGGTAAATGAAACAGACCTGATGCTTGTTCTTTTGGAATTTAGTGTCTCAAAAGAAGCTGTTCATTGCTCTAGATTATAAGGGTCACTATAGAGGAACACATTTTATTCATTTTTATGTTCTTTCAGTATCCAATACAAAATAGGTATTTTATTACAAAAGTTGTTACTAATACTTTGCAGATGGTGGTGCTTGCATTAGACGTTTACATCACATTATTTAAAACATTTTAAAGTCTTTAAAAAATGCCTTCATTAGGATGTGGTGTATAGACACACACACACACATGCACGCACACACATGCACATACACACACACACAGCAATATTACACAGCCATAAAAAGGATGAGATTGTGCCATTTGGGACAACATGGACCTAGAGGGTATTATGATGCTAAATGAAATAAGTTAGACCAAGAAAGACAAATACCATATCACTTTACTCATATGTGGAATCTAAAAAACAAATGAATGCACAAAGAACAGAATCAAACCTATAAATACAGAAAATGAACTGATGGTTGCCAGAGGGGATAGAGGTGGGGAAAAGGGCAAATGGGTGAAGGAAATTGGGCTCCCAGTTAAGGAATGAATAAGTCATGGGAATAAAAGGCACAGTGTCAGGAATATAGTCACTGGTACTGTAATAGTGTTGCATAGTGACAGATGGTAGCTACACCTGCAGTGAGCATAGTATAACATATTGAGAAGCTGAATCGCTACAATGTACACCTGAAACTAACATAACATTCTGTGTCAACTATACTCAAAAAACTTTTTTAAAAATGCCTTCATTAAATACATGTATTTTATATAATTTCAAAAATATTTGAGATTAAAACTTGATAGGTTTTTATTTGTAAAAGATTACTAGAAATTTTACCTATTGAGTAAAAGTCAGTAAAAATTTAGTAAAAATCAGATTTTTCTTTGAATTGCTTAACAATTATCAAAACACTATTGTTCCAAACAATGGTTATCTTACAAAAGATATGCGTGGCTTTGGAATAAGGAATAAAAATCGTATTTTCTTTTTCAGAAGTGACTGAAAATAAGATTTAGAAAATTTTAAACTACATTTTTAAAACACTTCTCTAATATGATAAGAACTACTCAATCTTACATATGACACAACAAAGTTCAATTTGAGAAAGGAGATGTGTAAAATCTAATAAAAATCTAAAAATAATTATCTAATGCAAGTATTACATATTTTCTATATATGAGAGAATTAATCGGTATTTTCAAATTTTGAAAACCTAATTGAACGGCAGGTTCCAAAGATGATGTTTCGTTGTCCATATAGCTGTGTTATAAAATTCAACTCAGATGATCTATCTACCTATGTATAAGTATATGTGATACACATATACACACACAATTCAAATGTTACTTAGGCTAAATGTCAGTAAATGTTATTCTTAATTTCAAATCACTTAAACTATGTCCTTGTATAATTTGCTACTGTTATGCTACATTGTTATCAAGGTGTAACCAAACTAAAACAAAATTTATAAGTCTCAATAATGTAATCAAGATTATATATTCTTTATAAAAATTTATATATAGTATATTTTTATAAGCTAAATATAATTTTTGTATAAATCTATTTATATATAAGTTTATATACTTGAATATATCTTTATATATAAAATCCTGATTACATATATATATATATTTTTTGCCATGCAATAATAATCTACATTGGGGTGTTTATGTAAATTTAAAAATTATTAGTTTATGAAAGAAGACCGTTCAAATATTTAAATCTTTCCCTAAACTAACCCAGATCATAAGATATGACAGACCATTTCTCATGTACCATCTTCATATTTATTTTAGTGAGCATAAACACTTCCTTGCTCACCATTTCCTTTTCTATCAAATCCCTTCACTTCTGTTCCTCAATCTCCAACAGCATTAAAGATAAAGTCAAAGCAGCAACAAGATGAAGGATATTTGGAAAGAAATTAAAATCTTTGCAAAAGTAGTAAATGTGTTTTCAAAAGGAATTCAAAGGCTTCAATCCAACAGATTGATCCTTGAAGTTTCTTCTCTTTGCCTTTCTTGGTCTTACAAATCATCAGTAACTGACTTAATGAGGGAAATAAAATGAGTATAAGAACCAGGAAGGCTGTGTCTATTTCATGTTTTGTTCAGACCTCAAGGGCAACGGGTGTTTCAAGCTGTGAAAAAAAAAATCACCTTTACTGATGTTAACATTGAATTTATATACCTGGAGTTACTCTGAGAATTAATAAATTTGGGGAAAGTACAACAAAAAATCTACTTTGTTATGTATTTTTCAATTATTCACGAAGTCTGAGGAAATTATTTCAACCTGGCAGTAATCCATTATGGAACTATCAATATCAATGTTTTTAGAGTGTGCTTCTATGCTATTTTTCTTTTAAAAGTTTCAATTTGGTAATGTTGATTATATACCCAAGTGCTGAAAGAAATTAGGCAGAAATAAATAAACCCATTCAGCAGTAGAAGTAGTCTTGCTACTGCTAAGGAAAACATAAGAGGTTATTTTGAAGTCAACTAAACATATCCACATAGCATACATCTGGTGCAGACTAAGCAATCTGATACACATAATATATGATTTCAATCCATATGAAATTCAAGGATATGTCCTTAAATTGGCACCTAGATTTGGTCAGAGTCAACATCAAAGTTTATTTTTAATTTCTTGCTGTTTTTTCAATTCAAGCACAGAAATGCACTGGATTAATAAAAGTTTAAAAAGCCTTTGGTTCCATGGACCACTAACCTACAAAGTTTCCAGATACTCCACATGACTTAAAAAAAAAAAATTTCTATCCTTAAATAATTTCCTCATTCTAAAATAGAGAACAGCAAACTTTTTCTGTGAAGGGCCAGACAGTAAGGATTTTAGGCTTTATGGGTTATGCCCTCTCTGTCACAAATACTCATCTGCACCATTGTAGCATGAAAGCAGCCATAGACAATACATAAATACTTGGTGTGGCCATGTTCCAATAAAACCAGTAGTTGGGCAGGATTTGGCTCTCAGAAGATCACCTGCTCTAAAATATAAAAATTTCATATATGAGAGGATGCCAGTATTTTAAAATTTTGAACAATTTCAGTGATTTCAGTGATGATTTTTAAAGGTTTTCCATATATTAAACAGTTATGATAGATATCACTACATTATCGTGTAATCCCAAATATATATTACTATTTGTCAAGCTAATACAGGTCTACAGATGATAAACTGTAATTCTGACCAAGACTTTTTAATTTAAAATGACTATCTGCAGTTGCATATAATTGCCCCAATATGAACAGTGTATCTAAAAAAAAGGAATAATACTTTAGCAAGCTTTCAAAATATTTATAGCTGAGAAGGCATTCACACTTTAAAAGATATCTGGCAATGATATCAACCTACTGGAATAGGTTTTAATTTGAAATAAACTTTAACCTTGGGTAGGTCCTTGTTTATTGTTGATACTGAGAGTGAATTACTCAGGAGCATGCAAGCCACTCAGTCTTGTAAGACTGTAGTGAGCAAAGTAGGTATAATAAAAAGATGACTTCTGAAAGACTATTGGGAAAAATTAACCAGTTCGTATTTTGTATTTTTGTAGACACCCATAGTTATGATGTTCTGAGGCATTCAAAGTTTTGAAATGTGTCATACTTCTATTTTTGATCCTAAACTTATCAAATCCTACACATATGGCAAAACCAATAGCCTCAATCATTGGTATCCATGTAAGAAGCCACACTCTGCAGTTCTAGGTTGTTTTAGACATTTCTAGATCAATAATAAATGATAGAGAAGTTCATAAAAATCTAAACAATGTTCCACATAAATTCAATTCACACACATCAAAAGATTGGCTTATGAGAAAAGCCTGTTTACAGTTACACAAAAATGTACTTAAAAACCAGATATTTGTTTCTTACTTTTGTCAATATAATTAAAGTATGAGAAACCAAATTCAATTTATTATGAAATGCTTCTTAAATTCATTGTTGCTCTAGTTTTGCTATATCCACTGTAGCCTATCTCCAAAGTAAATGTCTGTTTTTCATAATAACTGAACAGAAGTAAATCTTTAATATTTGATATTTTAGCTACTGAAAAATCAGCTAAAATATCCACTTTAGCTGGTAATTAAGCACTAAGAAAACACAAATCTCAAGACATGACTGTGTAAACTCCCCGACACAATTCAAATGTGGTAATGTTTATTTAAAAGCTTTGTACTTCACCATACTTCTAAAATTTCCTAGGATTAAAGATAGTCCTCTTATACACTAAGAGAACATTTTTCCATTGAGGGAATTTTTTGCTTTAAAAAAAATCTGATAAAACTGGTTGACCCACAGGTTATCTAGAAGTTAATCACCAAATAAATGAGAATTTTTCCAAGATAAATTTTTCTGCAGCATGATTCCAACAGATCACTGGTATGCATGATTAAAGCTGGCCACAATAAAGATTATATACACAAGTCTCTAAACAATCCCAAATTACTGAAATGACTCTATTTCACTAATCTCAGAAGGTGATCAATTTCTTGAGCATTACAGCTAACCAGGTATCTTAATTCCACCTTTGCTCAATCCTGAAGCATGTATATCAATAGAAATAATGATTGCCATACAAACTTCAATTATCCCACCAGTACCAGGACTATGGTTCTATGATGTGCCAACAGGTTGACAAATGAGGGATTTGTTAATTCATTATTTGTTTCATTTATTCATCAAAAATTTATTATGTATCTGTATGTCAGGCATTATACTACATTTTATAGTTACATCTGTAAGCAAGGCAGACACACAGAGCTATCACAGAGCTTACAATCCAGCAAAGGAAAAAAAAAACAATATAATTAATAAATAATAAGTCAATACACTCAATAATTCTTTAAAAAAAAAAGAACTCTGCCACTAAATAGCCATCAATGGTTCTATTTAATATAGTAATATAGTAATGTTCCGGTTAATATGGTAATATATTGGCCATAGGCAAACACCAAGGCTCTTTATAGTAGTTGGAAACATTCTTCTAACACGTAGGGACTCTCTATAAAATGTACAATTAGGATTTACACAGTTATGTTTGACAGTTTAATACGATGTGAGACAACCATAAATTTTAAATCTTCATGGCATTGTGAGCAGTGCATAATTTATAAAATTACTGTGCTCAAAGTCTTTGCTTGTTAGTAAAAACAAATTTTCTCCTAGGGATTATATAAATGTTGGTCAGATTGTGTTAGATCAGGTGCCGCGGTCTTAGCAGAGTCACAGAATGTTGTGAGTGAGACAAAGGAGATATGCACAAAGTCATATGGCTATTCATTAGCAAAGTAGGATCTAGAAGCCTAATTTTCTAATTCAAAGTCCGTGCCACTTTTCATTACACCAGCCAGCTTAACACGCCCTATTAAGAGTACAGGGGAAGGTGTGTTGCGAATTGTGTAAGACTGGTGAATCACAGATCTGTACCTCTGAAACAAATAATACATTATATGTTAAAAAAAGAAGAAGAAGAAGAAGAAGAAGAAGAAGAAGAAGAAGATAGCAGGAGGGGAAGAATGAAGGGGGGAAATTGGAAATCGGGAAATCAGACGAACCATGAGAGACTATGGACTCTGAAAAACAAACTGAGGGTTCTAGAGGGGAGGGGGTGGGGGGATGGGTTAGCCTGGTGATGGGTATTAAAGAGGGCACATTCTGCATGGAGCACTGGGTGTTATATGCAAACAATGAATCATGGAACACTACATCAAAAACTAATGATGTAATGTATGGTGATTAATATAACATTAAAAAAAAAAAGAGTACAGGGGAAGGTGTGAGTACAACTTAATATGGCCACCTGATAAAATTACCAGTATGAGAGGAAAGGCACTAAAAAGCATCAGCTTTTAATTCATAATCAACTGTAAATGAAACTATAACATAACATGGAAGGCAATTCTGTGATATGGTAAAAAGGATCTGTAAAAGTTAAAATACAAATTGTCGTCTACACTTTAATTAAAAATGATGAGTCAGCTCAATAAAGAAACTAAAAAAAAAAATAAAACAAAATCAGTTTTTTACCATTGAAAGATGAGAACATTTTGCTTTTCAACCACCTGTTCTACTGATAATCTGTCTCTTTCTTAAGAATAGCCTGTGTCTTCTTTTTGGAAGCACAACAAAAAGAAAAAACATTTAACTAATCAGATCTTGTTAGCTGATCTTTTTCTTTTTCTGCAATGGTAATTACATTAAACTCCTTTCAGATTTTGTACTTTCTGTGTAGTCCAAATTAGGAAACAAAAGACAGTTGCTCTCACCTCATACAGAACCCTGTGTATATATTTCCTACATTAAAAAAAAGTGATAACCCATATCCGAAAATAATGTGTGCTGTATTTCCTAAATCAACTTTATCAGTATCTGTAAAGTATACACATAAGCCCTCATTCTAAAGATCACATGGTAACCCTTAATTTTCTGATTTACCAAAATGGAAGAGAAAGGGAGTTTTACTGAGATAGGAGGATTTTTTTAAATCTCTAGTATATTACCAACAATTTTTCCCACAATTAAAATAATCGTGGAAAGATTATGCTACTTTCTTAAAAGCCATGTATATAAAACTGTAGAAAGATTAAAAAGTATTTTTAAAATATTAAGTGGAAAATAATCATCCACTGTTAATATTTCAGCATATTTTGTCTTTTTTGTCTACACACATTTTTATAGTTTCTATCTCAGTATACATGGGAGTTTGTATCCTACATTCTTCTCCTGTTATAGTAGAATCAGCCCTTTAAAAATGTATATACATTTTATGGTTGCCTAACAACCCTGTATAGACTTATAGTTTGCTATTCAAACAAAGCTAGCAATTTAGGTGATTTTATTTTTTTTACATTGTAATAAAACCATGTGAAAGAAACCAATGTTTAGAAGCAAATAGACTCTAATTCGTATCCTGCTTCCAACTCTTAATAGCTGTGTGGCTTTGAGCAAATTTGGTTCTCAGATCCCCTCATCCTATGGTCATGGAGTGGTTTTAATAAAAATATATGGAAAATGTTTAGCACAGTGCCTGATATATAAGGTTTCATAAATAATGGTTATTACAAAAATCTTCTGTATTTCAAATGATTTCCTTAGACTAGATTTCAAGAAGTAAAATTATTCAAAAACTATGAATGTTTTTTGGGCTCCTGATACATGCCACTAGATTTTTTTTCCAAAATGGTTATCTTTTCTTTTTAATTATTATTATGTTACGTTAATCACCATACATTACATCATTAGTTTTTGATGTAGTGTTCTATGATTCATTGTTTGAGTATAACATCCAGTGCTCCATGCAGAACGTGCCCTCTTTAATACCCATCAAAATGGTTATCCTAATTTAGACCCTCAAGAGTAGTAGTGTATGTGCCTCTGACCAGCAATATGTTAAAAGACAAATGAACTTTAGAAAGAAAATCAAGGTTAGTAAAAAAGCTAATTACCTAAATAAAATAAAACCTTAGTATCATTTGCATGTATGTGTGTGTGTGTGTGTGTGTGTGTGCGCGCGTGTCTGTATATCACTAATGAATTAAATTCAAATAGACTTACCCTACATGAGGGGCTGCTATCCCTTTATGGGAGGGAGATAAGGTCTGAAGTTTGTTTCCCAAAGAGCTGCTAACTGAAGACACTTTACCTGAAGGCACACCTTATAATAAAAAAGGTTATTAGTTTTAACGACATTCTGAAAAAGTAAAATCACATAAAACAGAGCATCTGACAAGGAAAACAATGCTTTAGTGGCAATAAATCTTTGTGGCAACAAATCAAAACAAGTTATCAACTAAGAAAAGGTTTTTTAAAAATGGAATTTCCAAAGAACATATAACATCTTTCATTTCTAATTTCCATATTTCTTTATTACAATTTACATATAAATAAAGGTGCACTTCAGTTAGTCAATATCTCCTTCAAGTCATTAAGCATGTGTCTATTAGGACAACTGTCAAGTTCAGAGCAGTATACATGAAAATGAGGGGAAAATACTATGGTCAAAGAATCAAGAAAAGAACTTGGTTGACTACTCTGATATATCAGTAACAACATCAAGGATAGACATTTAAGGTGGGAAAAAAGGACTACGAAGTATCCTAAGTAGAAAGTTATTGAAAGTTACTTTATTTTTACCCAGAAAGAATTACTTAACCTCCACATCTCTTCCTAATTATAAATCTATTTTAATAATCTAAAATACAACACTATCTTCATTTCTGTCTCTAAAAAAAAAAAAATCAAGTTATTTGTGGAGCTCATTACCTACAACAGTTTTGCTAGTGCCACTTGGTTGTGGTAATCGTGAAGATCCTGATGGTGCAGTTCCAGGAGAATTTGACTTTTTAAGTGCAGGCGGCTTATACTAAAATAATGAAAATAAAATATTTTATTAACATCACTTTTTGATTATAGGTTGTAAACTAGTATTTCAAAAGCTCACATACCCTTAAATGAGCAATTTTTTTATTAGCTACTGAATTACCCAAATTGAGAAAGTACAGATTAAAATATATTGCCTCAGAGAGAGGTTCCCAAAATATGTTCCATTTCAAAACTAGTGTACTAAAAGTTTGGCTCAGATGTTCCACTGCTAAAATAAACTAAGAGCAGCTTTGCCCAGTTCACAGAAAAAAAAAAAATAGGTCAAATGGAAAAAATTTCTGCAATGTGAAGATTTTAAATGATGAATATTAATAGAAAAACTTAGAAACACCCAATGATACTCACTTAGCAGTGCAGCTTTAAAGGTCAAATTTTTTACATGTTCCTAGGTATGGTTTTATATTTCATACATATAATCCAGCCATTTTCCTACTGATACTAATTCATAAGATTACAAATAAGTCTGGACAAGTTTTACAATAGCTGCCTTATGGATTTCCTGAATGTGAAGAGAAAGAGCTAATTCTGGCTTCACTATCCTCACCAGATCATGTTAGATGAATATAGAACAAGGGTTGAGGAACGATAGGGTATTTTTTTTTTCTCTACTCTCTAGAAAGATATCATTATCAATTTTATTTTACTGTCTCTTACCTGACCAATTTTGCTGTTACTAAATATTAAAGTATCTTATTGATCACCTGCTCCAATATAACAAAATGAATTTGCCTGAGGTTATACCCCAACTTAACAACACAAAAGTAATTAAGACTCATGCCACTTTAGTTCTAGCCCTATGCTTCAACTATAAAGTGATGACTGTACTTGAGATTTAGCCCAATACCATAGTGCGAATGCTTAGGACTTGTGTGAAAAACTGGTTTTAAACATAATCTCCAAAAGTCAAATCAGATTTTATAACCAATAATCAGTATAAAATTTAAGATGCACCACTACCAAAAACTGCTAGCTAAACACAAATTTTAAAGTAAAATATTATGCCCTTCAAAATTTAGTATGTGACCTTTTAAGGAAAATAAATCCTGATAAAAAGGCTTTTCTCTCTCTTTCTTTCTCACACACACACAAATTCCATGCACATTTGGCACTATTATCCCAGAAGTGGAAATTTCTTAAGCACTTGGCAACTAGAAAAACTTCAATAACTATCTGTCAAATGAACAAGTGACTAGGACCCTTTGGAGATAAGCCATATAAAGACACTGTTTCTTTGAAAACCTAAGAGGTGTTTCTGGTTTAAAAAGGCAACTAGCAACTGATGAATTACTGAACTCTACCACCAAAACTAGTAACACACTATATGTTATGATTTTAAATAAAAATAAATTTTTTAAAAGATTTTATTTATTTGACAGAGAGAGAGATATTGAGAGCAGGAACACAAGCAGGGGGAGTAGGAGAGGGAGAAGCAGACTTCCCGCCGAGCAGAGAGCCCGATGTGGGGCTCAATCCCAGGACCCTGGGATCACGACCTGAGCCGAAGGCAGAGGCTTAACAACTGAGCCACCCAAGCGCCTTATAAATTAATTTTTTTAAAAGGGAAAAAAGTGCATCTGGGGGCACCTGGGTGGCTCAGTAGGTTGAGTGTCAGACTCTTGGTTTTGGCTCAGGTCATGATCTTGGGGATGTGAGATCGCCAGGGTCGGGCTCTGCGCTGAGCAGGGAGTATGCTTGGGGATTCCCTCACTCCGCCCCTTCCCCACTCGCACATCTGTGTGCTGTGTGTCTCTCTCGCTCTCTCTAAAATGAATAAATAAATCTTTAAAAGGGCATCGGATTAATATCAGTGTCTCCCACTAAAATACCAATGAAGACGTTAGGAAAGATTTTAAAACTAAGAATATGGAAAACAAGCCCTAACAAAGACCTGTTAAAATATCACAGGTATGTCTACTTAAAAATAGGCTCCATAAAACTGGATTAAGAAATAGGATTGGTGAGCCACTCATATTGTGCTAACTACCAAAAAAGAGCAAAATGATTAGCATAAACAAAGAGTGCTGGTACAGCATATATTACATATGCAGAGGTAAAATCTTTAGGCTTTCAGAATGAATCCAGTAATCAACAATTTTGTATAAAGCCATTTTAGTGATCAGAAAAACAAAATCACTTTATTTTTATACAGTTATATTCAATCCATATTTCTTTCATTCATTAAATATGTATTTGTTAGATATTTATTATTTCATGTGCTTTTATATAGATCACAAATCTAATAAATTTCCTTAGTCAAATATTTATGTTTATAAAGACTTTTTCTTGAAATTGGAAAGAGCTTAAAGAACAAGGAGGGCATTCGAGCCACCCAGGCGCCCCGGAGGGCATTCATTTCTGATAAAATAGTAAAAAGGCACTATTTGGACCGACCTTTCAACTAAAAAGTAAAAATGCTCTGGAAAGTATAAAAAATCACTTAAAAGCAATGAATGTCAGATAAGAAGAAAAAAATAAACTGTGGGCCAATAACATTTAAGATTATAACAATAGACTGGCCATCATGTGGATTTGCTATATAAATCTGCATTACTAGGTGGCCAGGCAAACTAAGCCAAAAATTAAAGTACTTCCAAATTAGTAGTACTCTTAGATACCCGGAAGAAACAAGAAGGCTCTTCACATGAACAATTCTCATGAATAATTTTTTGAGGGCAACAAGTACCAAATGATCAATAATAATTATGTACATAATGATGTAAGAAACCATGATTGAGAAAAAAAAAGGAAGAACGTTATCTACAAAGATCACATGATACCACAATTATCAGATACATAATATAAAACAATTATGCTTACTAGATTTAAAGAAATAAAAGACAATTTTGAAAATATTAACAGGGAATTAGAAACCATAAAAAGTAACATAGGAAATTAGAAAAATAGACAACCTCAATAAATTAAAAAATGCAGTAAAAGATTACAAACTTAATGGTGGGGGAGTGAAATAGCTGCTTAACTCTCCTATAGACAATACAAAAGGATCCTAAAAAAAAGAAGATTTTAAGAGACTGGAAACCATCCAAAAGCAGTACTTCTAGAAAACTAGTAACTGTGTATTCTGGGTTTAACTGCAGGAAAGAGAAAGAAGCAAGGAAGGGGAAGGGTGAGGCAGGGAAAGAAAAGGAAAAAGGAAAGAGAAAAACATGATCTATATTTGGCAGTTATTATGAATATGTTCAAAAAGTAAAGGGATAAATATACAAGAATTAAAGGAAAAGATGGTAATAGTGAATAAACACATAGAAAATCTCAACAGAGAAATAAAGGCAAAATATAGGCATTTTTTTCAGATAACCAAAACTAGAAAATTCCTTGCCAGCAGATCTGCACTCTTAGAAGGCTAAAGAAGCCTCTTCTGATTGAAGGCAAATGACAAAATATGGCAACTGAGATTTAGAAGAAGAAATGAAGAGATATGAAAATGATAATATGGGAGTAAGTAATATGCAAGTAAAATACAAAATACATGTGTGAGGATGTGGCAGAGGCAGAAGAAAAAAAAACAAAGTATATGTGGGTGTGCATAAACATACATGTGTGTATATGCATATAAATGATTACATATTTACTTTCTTCTAATTTCTTTAAAAGACAGATGACTTTTAAAGGTGTAAGTATAACACTGTGTAACAACACACATCAAGAATACTGATGGGTTTAGGGGCGCCTGGGTGGCTCAGTCGTTAAGCGACTGCCTTCGGCTCAGGTCATGATCCCAGGGTCTAGGGATGGAGCCCCACATTGGGCTCCCTGCTCAGTGGGAAGCCTGCTTCTCCCTCTCCCACTCCCCCTGCTTGTGTTCCCTCTCTCGCTATGTCTCTCTCTGTCAAATAAATAAAATCTTAAAAAAAAAACGAAAAAAGAATACTGATGGGTTTATAGAGTTACATATATATAACAATAACACTAAGATCGGTGAGAGATATGTGGAAATATCCACAGGTGGGGATAAGTTAAAAAATGCATTTTGTTATTCCTAGAATAACCATTTAAAAAAATATGATGACTGAAAACCAATAGAGAATATAAAATATCTATTACTAAGACAAAAGAAGGAAGAAGTATCAAAGGAATAAAAAAAAGACAAAAATAGAAAACAGCAACATGGCCGACTTAACCACAAACATATCAATAAATACACTGAGTGTAAATGCCTAAACACTTCAACCAACAGTTTGAGGTTGTCAGACTGGATTTTAAAAAAGATGAACTAAAAACAGGCTGTCTACAGGAGATGCAAAAACACAAATTTAAGTGAAAGAATTAGAAGGAAATTTAACATAATTAAGCTGAAATGGTTATTCATTATCAGATGAAACACCTTCTGACAACACAGATTCAAGTTAAAGAATTGAAAGGAAATTAGCATGATCAAACTGAAACAGCAATACACTATCAGATGAAACAACAACACAAAGAATGTTGCCATAGACAAAAAGGCACACTCCATATGATATAAAGGTCAACAAATAGGAAAGACGTAACGAACTGTAAATATAAATACAATTAATAAGAGAAATTCAAAATACTTAAGTGAAAAGCTGGTGAAATTAATGATCCTGAAAAAGTCAACAATCATAGATGAAGACTGTAGGAACATTCACCGAAAAAGACCACATGCTAGGCAATAAAACAAATCTCAAAAGATGAAAGTCTTACCAAGTATGTTCTCAGACCCTAAGAGAATTAAATAAAAAAAAATCAGCAATAAACATCTAGAGGAGCACCAAATATCGGGAAGTAAATGACTCACATTTGAACAAACTATGAGTAAAAGAAGAAATCACACCAATAGGCATTATTTTGCTGTATGCTTTTGATAACTGTTGAGGTAGGTACATATTATCCCCATTTTATAGATGCGAATGTGAAGGAGACCAATTTATCCCTCATCAGGGTGTATTTTAGAGCATGGAGGGAACTAAGTCAGCTGGAAGGGAGGGAAGGTATGGATTACGGAGGGTCGGGAAGATCAGGCAGAGAATATCATACTCCAGTTAAAAAATAAAAACAGGTGCGCCTGCGTGGCTCAGTCGCTAAACGTCTGCCTTCGGCTCAGGTCATGATCCCAGGACCCCAGGTCCTGATCGAGCCCCACATTGGGCTCCCTGCTTGGCAGGAAGCCTCCTTCTCCCTTTCCCACTCCCCCTGCTTATGTTCTCTCTCTCTGTGTGTCTCTCTCTGTCAAATAAATAAAAAAAATCTTTAAAATAAATGAATAAATAAATAAATAAATACAAAATAAATACAAACATACAAAAAATACAAAGATAAAAACACCAAAAAAAAAATAAAGAAGAAATCACAAATTAGAAAATATTTTCAACTATTTTCAAGTGAGAGAAAATGGAGGAGAAAATAACTACAAATCCATCATGACATCAAGATTTATAAAGCCATAGTAAATAAAAGTGCAGTTATGGTCTGGAGACTATATAAAAGGCAAAAACTGATTTATATGTAAAATCAGAAGAGTGACTATTTTATGGGGTGAGGGTCTAAGAAGGAGAGAACATTACAATTCTGGGAGTGAAACAGGATAGTAGAGGCTTTATGAGATTGATAATACCCTATTTCTTAACCTTTTTGTGGTTATGCACGTATGTGTATTTTGTGTTTTTTTTTTACATGTATAATTTACAATAAAATAATTGAGGAAAATAAGGAGGAAAAAATCAGAATAAAAGTGTTGTATAAAATAAGAGGGGCACCTGGGTGGCTCAGTCAGTTAAGCATCTTGACTCTTGATTTCAGCTCAGGTCATGATCTCACTATCATGAGAACAAGCCCTGCATTGGGCTCCACATTGGGTGTGGAGCCTGCTTGGGATTCTCTCTCTCCCTCTGTCCCTCCCTTTCTCTAATAAAAATAAATAAAATTTAAAAATTAAATAAAAGCACAAAATTAAATTTTTTAAATATCAACTAAGATGACTTTTAAAAATATTTTTTTTCAAATTTTCCATAAGGAACAGGAATGCCTTTAATAAGAAAAAAATTCATTAAAAACTGAACACCATCTTTCCAGATTTAAACCTTATTACTTTAGAATGAATAGGGTAATTATCAATCAGAATACTGAAAATTCCTAAATCACAAAATACATACTGAATTTTTAAGCTCATAAGGTAACTGAGCCAAGGTGAGAAAAGAATACTTCAGAACCTAAGTTACAAACGGACTATTTCAATATAATATGTTCTCTTAAAATAATAAAATGTTTTAATTTAGTATATACTAGGTAACATTTTGGGTTTTCTATTCTTCATGAGTCGACTTTAATATGCCATGATGGAACTTGATAAAATTCCTAATGAAGAAGAATGATGGAAATTTAACTAAATGGGGGAACTTCTTGGTTTTACCAATAGGAAATAGATCTTCATTATATTTTTTTCATTATTTTGATCAGAGCAGGGTCAAAAAGTGGGCTGTAACTGGGTTAGATTATAGTTGCTAAATATAATAAGGATGCATTTTAAGCATCTTTTGGAAAAATATTCTATTTAGTTTACTAATATAGACTCAGTACTTGGTACAGTAGTGCCTCATTCAGAGAGGGTACTCAATAAAATTTTCTTGAATGAATAAAAATGAGAAAATATGGGCTTACATTAAAATGAATATATATGACTGGGCATACAATCAGAACTGATACAGTTTAAAGTGGTAACCATCAGCTACCTGGATTTTACATTTACAATCATTTGGCACCAAGTTGATGGAATATAAACATTCTATTTCTTTTACTCTAATTTTTTTATTATGAGAAAAGAAAAATCATATAAATGATCTTAACCATTTAAGTAAAAGATAAATGTTTTTGACATCTGTTTTAGAAATTCTTCAAAATGAATTTTCTTCATTCTTTCCCCACAATGATGATGATCCAATAATATTAACAAAAATTCAATATGGATCCTCTCAAGAAGGCTCCAATTGTAATGGAGTCTTTTAATCCAATATTTGATTCATAAGTAACAAGTGAAATGGATTTGATTATTATTGCCTGCTAGATTTACAGTACTAAAAAAACTGTAAATGAAAGTCTTCTGAAAAATGAAGTTTGCTGAAAAGTATTACATTATCAGGGCCCCTGGGTGGCAACAGTCAGTTAAGCCTCTGACTCTTGGTTTTGGATCAGGTCATGATCTCAGGGTCATGATCTCAGGGTCCTGAGATGGAGCCCCGCGTCGGGCTCCTCACTCAGTGGGGAATCTGCTTGAGAGTTTCTCTCCCTCTCCCTCTGCCCCTCCCATTCGTGTTCTCTTCTCTCTCTCTCACTCTAAAATAAATAAATTTTTTTAAAAAAGTACGACAGTATCAAAGTTTTTGTGTCACAATATGCTCAATGAAAAACAACAGTACTGTAAAAATTTCATATAACAAAATCCATATATGGTTTATGGTTCTTGAAGTGCTTTCACATATACCATCTCATTTGCTTCTCACAAAAATCATATAGACTACTTCACGGATGAATAAATAAAGGCTCTCATACATGAAATGTTACTTGCCTAAAAGTTCAGAAGTAACAGTTGGACTTAACCCCAGGATTTCATTCCCTTGGGCGTATGGTCACATGTAGCATGGAAACATTCAGGACTTATCTGATTTTCAAATTTGGATTTTTACTGCCATTTTCTCACTCTTCCAAACCCTCTGATTTCCTCTGAATCTGCTTCACCTACTTTTTAACTAGTTTTCTTACCTTTTCCTAATACCTTCTTCAACCTGCATTATTTTCAAGACTCTACTAACTCAAGTCCATTCAATTATTTGTTCTCAATTAAACATTCAAATTTCTTACTAAATCCCTGAACAATATAAAACTTTAAGAAGGTAAGAAAGCTGTAGCTAAATGTTCTGTAAACCAGAAGCAAAAAATTGTGCACCTGAGTCATTTTCTCCTTTATTTGTAGAAATAATTGAACATTTCACCTGTGTCCGAGAAGTCGCCTTTCCTTTGGTATCAGTAGAAAATTTGCCTTTATTACTAATACGTGCTGCCTGTTCTTTACAGAAATTAATATGTCTATCAGCTGCATTTTCATTAAATCTCCTCTGGCAATATGGACACTGAATATAATCTAAAACAGAAAAAAGGAACAGATTAATAACATAATTCTTGAAGTGAAACAAAGAATTATAAGTTTTTATGAACAGTAATTGAAGATGTATGACAAAGTAATAACATTTGATAAGCAAAACTTGTCATTTCCTTATAACCACCCAACCTGACTACTAAATTTAGTAAAGACATTTAAGAAAAAAGTTTGCTAGTATATGATAAATTCCAATTTTCTGCCAGCCTAGAATCAAATTTGAGGGGGAAAAAAAAAACCCCAAAAGATAAATTCTTAGTACAAAAGACGGAATACAGAGAGGAAAAACAGGATTTCTTCTTTGCCTTTATAATATACCATATGTTTTCACCATATCTACATACTTTTATACTAGAGACTAAGTTAAGCAGTAATAACACATTACATTAAAAATGAATTTTAAAATTTGGGCTAATCTGTTAAAATCTTTTATTTTAATTAGAGGAAAACTGTCAAGAAATAGTTTAATCAACTTTATACAGTTGTATTTTCTCTTAGATGAAAAAAAAGATAAAAATATACCTTATTAACTAAGATACTTACTATCTGGGCCTTTATAGAAATAGTTTGTCAACCTCTCTACTACAATAAAATGTTAAAAATGATCGTATCTAGATTTTCTAAAGGATTTATTTTTTTTAAAAATTACTGAAGTATAGCTGACATACAATGTTACACTAGTTTCAGGTATACAACATGGTGATGCGTCAATTCTATACAATATTCAATCCACACCACCAATCTGTCACCAATGTAATTATAATATTATTGACTATATTCCCTATGCCATGCTTTTCATCTCCCTGACTTATTTTATATAAGAACTTCCCTTTACTAAGAAATAAATCTCAGTCAAGAATAGTAACACAATTTTAGTGCTGCAGCTAACTTCTTTTTTTTAATTTTTTTAATTTTTTATTGTTATGTTAATCACCATATATTACATCATTAGTTTTTGATGTAGTGTTCCATGATTCATTGTTTGTGCTACAGCTAACTTCTTATATTAAAATAACTACCTCTTTAAACTACTCTCCTAGCCAATGTCAAATTGTCAATTGTGTATATTTTAAATCTTTCAGTATTTCAGTATCTCATATTGGGTTTCCAGCATCTTGCCTTGCTTTTGGTAATAAATAAGCAACTTTTATACACCTAATGAAGAAACTATATTAACACATGAATTTAAAGCATAATTTAGGTAAATCAATCTATATGGTGGTTTCCCCACATAAACAGGTACCTTTTAGAAACAATATGAGATGTATTTTCCCGGATGAGAAAATATCAAAGAACTAGGCAACAAAACAATCTGAATCTTACCAAATGACTACATTTCAAATGATAGTGAGTTTCTTCAAATATTTCCTGGGATATATTACAATGATTTTTCAAATGATATTAAAATCTTTTATGTTTAAACAAAGTATTGAGATAAAAAGATAAAGTATTTCTATGTTCAACACCAGTGTGTCTTTATAAACCTAAATGCCTAGATTAGCACCATTATTTTATAGTTAAACTTTTTAAAGATTATGTTTCATCAGTTTCCATTATTATAAATTAATTTTATTAACAACTTAAAATTAATAAAAATTCTATCAATATTTTCTCTCCATATGAAGATTTCTGTCAACAATATTCTACATACCAGGATCATAAGAAGGTGGAGGAGGAGGAGGAAGTTTTCCACCCTCTTTAAGTGCCTGATCAAGGCCTTTAGCTGCTCTTATGGTGGCAATGAATTCTTCATGTTTTCTTCTCCAATTAGATGGTTTCTTTGGTGGTTCAGGCTACAAACAAATAAAGAAAAGCCCATTTCAAAACATTTTTATTTTTATTTATTTATTTATTTTTAAAGATTTTATCTATTTATTTGACAGAGAGCGAGAGCAGGAACACAAGTAGGTGGAGTGGGAGAGGGAGAAGAAGGCTTCCCGTGGAGCAGGGAGCCCAATGTGGGGCTTGATCCCAGGACCCTGGGATCAGGACCTGAGCCGAAGGCAGATGCTTAACTGACTGAGCCACCCAGGCGTCCCTCAAAACATTTAAAAAAAATTAATTGAAATAGGGCGCCTCAGTGGCTCAGTTGGTAAGCATCTGCTGTTGGCTCAGGTCATGATCTCAGGATCCTGGGATTGAGTCCTGTGTCAGACTCCCTGCTCAGGGGGAAGCTGCTTCTCCCTCTGCCTCTCCCCCCTGCTCGTGCTCTATCTCAAATAAATAAATAAAATCTTTTAAAAAATTAATTGAAATAAAACTTGAGGAAATGCTATATTGTTTTAAATGTTCTCTTATTAGGAGTCCTTAAATTGCTTTCCTTAATTAAAATTTATAATTTTAAAAAGAAACTTCACATAATTGTATTATATGCTATTTTTAAAATGCAATTATAATTGGATAAACACTGCTAAATTAACTTCTGTAGATGCTGCATCCATGTAAGCCTCCACTAACCTGGTGTAATTTCCCTATTTTACTACACTTTCTCCAACAGAGTATGTTGGAAAACAAAAAACTTTTGTTTTTTTAACTAACTGGAGAGGTGAAAAATAGTTCTCTCTCTGGTTTTAACCAGCTTTCCTCTTAATAATTAGTTGAGCATCTTTTTGTATCATTAAGAATCATCTGCACTGGGGTGCCTGGGTGGCTCAGTCGTTAAGCATCTGCCTTCGGCTCAGATCATGATCCCAGAGTCCTGGTATCGAGCCCTGCATCCAGCTCCCTGCTCCGCGGGGAGCCTGCTTCTCCCTCTTCCACTCCCCCTGCTTGTGTTCCCTCTCTCGCTGTGTCTCTGTCAAATAAATAAAATCTTAAAAAAAAAAAAAAATCATCTAATGCATTGCCTTTTTTTTGTGAACTTTTTATGTGCCTGGTCAACTTACCTGTTGGTTACTGGTCTTAATTTTAGCAATTTCTAGTTAATTCTTTATAGACTAGCCTCAGCCCTCCCCTACAATATGGCTGTCTTATAACCTTGTCTAAGGATCTTCTGATATGAAGAATTATTTTTAAAATATAGGTTAATTTACTTGTTTCTTTTATGGTCTGCCGATTTGCAGTCACTGTTAGCAAGGCCCAACCTCACACGACGGTAAAATGGAATTTTCCCATGTTTCCCCCTAGAATTTTCATGGTTTCATTTTAAAATTTTAAAACTTTTATTCATTTGGAATTTATGAGTTATAGTGTGACATATAGATTCAACTTTATTTTTTGTTTTTAACATGGCTATGCAGCTATCTCAGCTCTTTATTGACTTTACTCCCCACTGAACTGTTAACACCTTTACCATATTCTCTTTTGTATTTGGGCCTATTTCTGAACATTCTCTTCTGTTCCACTGTTCTGACTATCCTTGTGTTAGTACCAGTGTTTTAAATATTGAGACTTTATAATAATATTTTAATATCTGATAGGATAACCCTACTTTATGCTGCTTCTTTTTCAATTTCTGGTTATTCTTGTATGTACATTTTTCCATATGAACTTTAGAATGAGCCTAATTTTTTAAACTATATTTTAACTGGAAAACTTAAACATTACATTCATAAATAACTTAAGGAACTTAGTATCTTTATTTTGTTGAATCTACCTATCCAAAAATATATAATATTTCCATTTGAAGAAGTATTTGTGTCCATTTTTTTAAGTATTCTTTGTGAAAGTTTTATACCTTTAAAAGGTTTATCCTTAAATGTTTTTTATTTTGTGTTGTTCTTTTATAAAGAGTCTTTTCTTCTTTTTTGTTTCAAGGGGTTTGTTGAAATATGAAACCTAGTAATTTCTGTATATTATCATTATATCTCATTATTTCACTGGCTTCTCTTATTGTTTGTAATAATTTAGCAGTTGATTATCTTGGGTTTTCCAGGTATATCATCTCCTAATAATGATACCTTTACCTCCACTTTTCTAATTCCTATGCATCTAATATCTAACTGTATCAGTTACAGCAATTACTATATTGCTTGGAGCTTAATCTTGTTCCTGTTTTTAATGGCTACCTCTAAGTATCTTTCCACTACAAATAATGCTGACTCCTGTGCTACCATACATTTATTTTGTTGTATTATTCAAATACCCAACTATCCTTATTATGTCTTTATTTTTTAAATCAAGAATATACACTGAATCAGCAAAGTCAAAAGATGATTCTTTAAAAACACTAATAAGGCAGGACTAATAAGGGAAAAAAAGAAAACACAAAATGTGGATGGAAAATAGTACATGATACAGTTCTTACAAACATGAGGAAAAAAGAAGACACTATAATGGACCTTTATGCTAATAAATCTGACAACAGTAAGTGGACAATATCCTTGACAAACACCACAAAACAGATACCAGAAGAAACAAAATCCCAAGTCTTAATTTTTTTTTAGTGAACCTATTTTTTAAAAACCTGAAGAAAACTGGCCCAGATGCCTTTACTGTTGAATTCTTGCAGACATTTAGGAAGAAATGGCATCATTTTTTAAAAACTCTTTCAAAAAATAAAAGAGCAACTTTTTTTTTTTTAAGATTTTATTTATTTATTTGAGAGAGAGAGAGAGAGCACAGTAGGGGGAGCAGCAGAGGGAGAGGGAGAAGCAGGCTTCCCGCCGAGCAGGGAGCCTGATGTGGGGCTCGATCTCAGGACCCTGGGATCATGACCTGAGCTGAAGGCAGACGCTTAAGTGACTGAGCCACCCAGGCACCCCGAGAACAACTTTCTAACTAGTCTTAAGAGAGCAACGAACGTTTGATAAAAAGAAAAATTACAAGTTTACCTCTCGTAAGTAGAGATACAAAATCTTAACTAAACACAAGCAAATTCAGATGTTGAATGTGACTGTTTATAGTTTCTTATTTTATGGTGAAAGGTCTGATCACAACATTCATCTGCTCCATAAGTATAACTCATCTACTGATAGGGTCTGCTGCTCTCATCCATCTTTCTTCTCACTGCATCCTTGTGTCAATGCTAAATTAATGCTTTTTTTATTACTCATCATTGAATAAATTAGGTTTTCCTATTACAGCTATTTATAGGAGGTTCTGGGGAGAAGGAGTGGTGCACAGTCCCTGGCCAGGCTACACAAACCGACAGCTAGCTCTCCAGCACTGTACCAAATTCAGATGCAAATAAGGCCTCTCTGTGATCACAGGGACAAACCTCTCGTGCTTCTCTAAAGCAACGTGGGTCCAGGAAGGCTCCTACTGCCAACCATGCTTCCCTCAGTAACCACACTAACCACTTCCAAAAAAAAAAAAAAAAAAAAAAAAAAAAAAGACCTAGCCCTTTAGATGGGCCCCTTACCTTAAGAAAGGGTATTTTCTTTTCATTAGTGCTTTTTGGAGAGCTTCTGCCATTGGGCCCCTTCAACTCTCTGTGCCTTACTTATCTCCCTACTTCCTCCTTCCTGGTTTTTGTCCAATTTCAGCCAGGCTCATTCCAATTCCTTGCATTCCAGGTTCTTATACTCACCCCAATTCCTGCATTGGCTGTAGTAAATAAGGGATCTATAATTCCTGATTAGACCCCTCACATTTAAGGAGTCACTTTAAGGCGAGGAGACCCTTCACCTTTAAGGTGACAGGTTCCCATTCTGGGCCATGGGTCCTTCAACTTTCTGCACTTCCTCTGTGGGTAGGTTCTGCTGGAACTCAGTTGCTTTGGGCAGCCATTACATATATTTTGTACTCTGTGGATTAGGCCTGCCTTTAGTTTTTCCCCAAATGGAGTTCGCATCTGCTTTACTCCACTCTGCTTGTGATTTTGTAGGATTTCCTTGATACAGATAGAGAAAATTTCACTATGTTAAAATCTTCTAATACAGGGGCACCTGGTGGCTCAGTCAGTTAAGCAACTGCCTTCAGCTCAGGTCATGATCCCCAGGGTCCTGGGATGGAGCCCTGTGTCAGGCTCCATACTCAGTGGGGAGTCTGCTTTTCCCTCTCCCTCTGCTCCTCCCCCTGCCAATGCTCTCTCTCTCTCTCACTCATTCACTCTCTCTCTCAAATAAATAAATAAAATCTAAAAAAATAAATAAATAAAAATAAATGTTTGGGATCCCTGGGTGGCTCAGTTGGTTAAGCGTCTGCCTTTGGCTCAGGTTATGATCCCAGGATCCTGGGATCGAGTTCTGCATCAGGCTCCTTGCTCAGTGGGGAGCCTGCTTCTCCCTCTGCCTGCTGCCCCCCCGCTTGTGCTCGCTCGCTCTCTGACAAATAAATAAATAAAAGCTTTTTAAAAAAATCTTCTAGGGGTGCCTGGGTGGCTCAGTCGTTAAGCATCTGCCTTCGGCTCGGGTCATGATCCCAGGGTGCTGGGATCGAGCCCCGTGTCGGGCTCCCTGCTCGGCGGGAAGCCTGCTTCTCCCTCTTCCACTCCCCCTGCTTGTGTTGCCTCTCTTGCTGTGTCTCTGTCAGATAAATAAATAAAATTTTTAATTAAATAAAAATTAAAAAATCTTCTAATACACAGTTTTTCAAACTTTAAGGTGCATATGACTCGCCCAAGGATTTTGTTAAAATGCAGATTCTAACTCAGCATTTCTGGGTGGGACCTGAGATTCTGCATTTCTAACAAGTTGCCAAATAGTGCTGGTATTACTGCTCTATGAACCACACTTTTAAGTACCAAGAAATTAAACTACTTCATGCAAAGCAATGGTTTTTACTTTGCTTTTATCTGAAGATTAATTTTTTTCACTATTAGAACCCTTCTCCCTTAGAAAGAAATAAGATAGAGGCACCAGGGTGGCTTAGTTGGTTAAGTGCCCGACTCTTGATGTCAGCCCAGGTCATGATCCCAGGGATGTGGGATCGAGCTCACCCTCAGGCTCTATGCTCAGCACAGAGTCTGCTTGAGATTCTCTCCCCCTCTCCCTCTGCCCCTACCCCTGCTCGTGCACACTCTCTCTCTAATAAGTAAATAAATAAATCTTTTTAAAAAAATAGTATAACTAACATTTATTGACAGATCACTGTGGATAAATTCAGTAAGAACCCACAAGACAGACACTACCATTACTACACCATTTTACAGATAAAGAGATGTATAGGTTAAGTAACTTGCCCAACACAGCATGGTAAGTAACAGAGCAAGGGTTAAATCCAGGCAATATGACTCTTGAGCCAGCTGTCATTTTCATACCCACTATATTACACTGTCGAAAAATTTCAATAGTTTATCTCTTGGCTAATTAAAGCCAATATAATCATATATCTGCAGATGTACTAAGAAAAATATCAAATAATGGTTTCTGTACATTATTCAAATTTCACCATCCTTCACTTATAGATAGCCTGAAAAAAAAGATGCACATTCGACTTTTCTATTATCAAATGATTTTATTAGTAAGATTAATTACCCCACAGGGAAATGTTTTCCTGTACCACTGGGAGAAGTTATTATCACTGACGCAGGGTTTATTTCAAAAACCTATTCAATGAGGTACTCAAATTTCGACTATTTCACTGAACTCTTTAAAACTACGTCGAACAAAGTATGTGCTTTATTCTTAGCAATATAACACACCACAGGTAGTATTAAAGAGATTATTAAAGGAGATTCACTGCTTTCAAAGAAAACAAACTGACAACAGCTATACAGGGACAGCTGAGTAACTGACCAAACTTCCCCAGAAAGCCTAAGATCACAATTACTGACAATCAATCAAGCTAATCAATATCTATTATGCTGAGGTATCTGTAAATTATAGCTTTGCTTTTGTAGAGAGGGACTATAGTACTGATAAGAGGCTTAAACTTACACACTACACTTAAATTAGGCTTCAATAATTAACGAGTTAAAAAGAACATGTGAGGACTTTTTAATTCTTGCCAGCCTACAGCTAAGCAATTGGCTATCCAATGCTACAAAAACCTCATTATAATAAGTTTTGAGACAGTAGTTTGGTTTCCCCTTAGCAGAAGTTTAAAAATAAACAAGTTTCTGATCGTTTCTAAACTGAAAACAAGAAGCAGAATTCTCATTATTCTTCAATCTTAGAACAGATAATTTTTTTTCAATATATATAGCAGCAAAGTTCATACTATTCAAAAAGCTATATAATTACCCTAGGTTTAAGAGGTTTTACTGTTGGAATATCAGTTCCTTCAGCTCTCTGTCTGCTTGAATCAAAAGTCTTCCGTTTTTTAGTGGCAGTTTTCTGGCAAATGGGTCCATGTTTTTTCTGTTAAGATAAAGAAATGCAATGTATCATTTTCTTTTCTATAGAAAGGAAGTCTATAAAACTTCAAATTGTCATTTGAGACCAATTTAAAAACTAGAAGATGAAATAGTAATATATAAGAATATTTTGCTTTAACTAAAATCGTTAGAAAGTATATATAATGCATGCTATAAGTTATCTTTCTCAAGAAAGTATGAATACTATATACAACAAGAAAGTATAGATAAATACTCTTCCAGTTTTCACACTGCTAATAAGGAAAATAATGTAACTAAGTCAAAGTTATTTGAGTGAAAAAAAGTTATCTTCATTACCAAATACATGAAAACAGATATTGGAAAAAATGTAAACAGAGACTGCATTAGTGTGAGGATTACAAAAGTTAACATAATAGTAGTAGTCTGGGTTACTAAAGTTATTAACATAACCGTAGCATGTTACCATAAAGTTAACATAAAATAATAGGACTTGGTGGTCCGATTTGTGTCCTCCCTCCACAATCATCTCTTTCTCCCCTCCTGGAACAAGTTTACCTTTCTTTACCCATGATTTTTCTTGAGCTATCTAGCGTTCCACTTCTATAGGCTTTTTAAATATGGCTGCCAACTCATTCATTCAATCATTCATGTATTCATTTTAAGGACATTACAATGGACGCTCTCATAACTGACCTCCAATTAACCTACTGGATAAATAATCATTCTCCTTCTTCCAAATAAAACATGTTAATGGATGACCTAAGTGCACTATATGCACTTTTTTTCTTTTGTATTTTGATAACACTGAACAAGCTACAACTGTTAAACTTTATCTGAGAAAAGAGGAAACCTCATAACTGGTTGGTTTGATATCATGCAAACTCTTACATTTTCAATACACACTTAGAAATTAATTGTTTTACATACTTGTTTTCAGTTTTCATTTTATTTTTAATTTTTTTAAAGATTTCATTTATTTATTTGACAGAGAGAGACACAGAGAGAGAGAGAGGGAACACAAGCAGGGGGAGTGGGGGAGGGAGAAGCAGGCTTCCCGCCGAGGAGGGAGCCCGATGCAGGGCTCAATCCCAGGACCCTGGGTCCATGACCTGAGCTGAAGGCAGACGCTTAAAGACTGAGCCACCCAGGCGCCCCCTTGTTTTCAGTTTTCATTTTAATAAGCAAGTACTATTAATTATAGCTATTAGAATAAAAATCTCTTAAATACAAAAAAAAATTAGAAGTGTGGCTAACAGGCAACTTTCTAATAGATGTCTGTTCTTACACTGAGTTGTGTCAAAAGTATGTAGTACTTGTTCCCAAATCTGATATATTATATAAGTTGTAGCTGTATAGTGATTACATTATTTAATTAAATATTAAATAAATAAGGGCAAAAGAAGGCATTTTCTTTCCTATGTAAACTGAGCTCAATATTTTGAACATGGTTTGGAAAATAGTGAGATGACATGAAAACAAAAAAAATCATTGAGTTAAGTGTGGGCAAGATGTTTTTAAAGGACAAAGGAAAAAAGCTGTCATTATTTAAAAGGAGTTGATAGTCCAACAGACACTTTGGATCATTAAATCCTTGCTTTGCTTTAAAGAAACAAACTGGAAATAGTAACATGCATTCTGGATAGTGACAGAACTCTAATCAGCATTCATATTCAAAGAAAAGTCTTTATTCTACATCAAAATATTAATAAATGTATTTTTATAATTAAAGTAAGAATAAAATACTATAGGTACATGGGCATTTTTTCCCTTATTCTCTAGTTAGTTGGCTATTTTATATTAAAATCAATTAAGAGTACTTCTATTTGTGTTACTAAATAAAAGTATCTAAAGAATGCATAATATGTTTTCGGTACACTTTTATTTTTTTTTTTAAAGATTTTATTTATTTGACAGAGAGAGCACAAGCAGAAGGAGGGAGAGGGAGAAGCAGGCTCCCTGCTGAGCAAGGAGCCCGATGTGGGACTCGATCCCAGGACCCTGGGACCATGACCCAGGCCGAAGGCAGCCACTTAACCGACTGAGCCACCCAGGCGTCCCTTAGGTACACTTTTAATTGAAAACAATTTTTCTTTGAATATTTCAAATATACATAAGAATTAAGAGAATAGTGTCATGCACTCCCATTTACTCATCAACAATTATCAACAATTTAGCAATCTTGTCATCTATCCCAGCTTTTTTTCCTGAGGTACTTTAAAGCAAATCCCAGACACATACCATTCTTTATCTTTAAATACATAATTATGCATTTCTGAGTTTTTGTTTCATTTTTGTTAATATTCCCACAGAGAAACACTTTAACACTTTAACAGAGTAGTTCTGAAGACCAAACTATGAAGGAAAGAGACCACTCTAGAAGAAAGACATAGATGGAACTGATGCTCTTGAACAAAAAACACTGGTCAGTATCTCTTTAAATTATTCCACAGAGGTTCTTTCCATGAGAGTTGTCCTGAAGTATCAAATAATTACAGATCTAACATAATCCAAAGGAAAAAGGTACTCACTAATGCCACCGGAAAGAACGTTCTTCCACAAATCTTGCAAGGTAACAATTCTCCCACTTGGACACTTCCATTTTCTAAAACAGGAAAGAATTTAATTAATAAATTCTTTGCTCAAATTGTGAAATTTCCAAATTTTAATGTCTTCATATGTAAGTTGTCAGTTCTTGTGGAAAATGTCTTGTTTCATTTTGGAATAAGCAATATTATTAAAATAGGCACAAGACTTAGAGTTACCAGTGGTCAAAAAGGACATGCCAAATACTGAAGTCATGATTTAAGTATCACCAAACTGATATTGTTGGAAATCTTTTGTTTTCTTTAATTTTAACCAAACCAATTTATTATATTCTCTGAACTTATACCCTCTCTCTACTGTAAATTACCAAACTTTAAACACCAAGTTTACCTTAAGGTTAATATTATATATTATTAATCTTCAAAGCATTAAGATATAACATTGGTGATCAGTGAGATGGCTTCCTGAGATGATCTAAGGATTCTAAGATAAAAAGAATCTTGTTCTGTTTAACAGCAGACAATAGGAAGTATAATGCCTTAAAGAAAGAATCACCTAGTTACTAAGCTACCTTTATTATATGAATTGTTCATTATTTTATACATATAATATTATATAAGAATTCAATGGACCAGCAAACTGAGATATTATGTGCTATGGCACAATTCATTAAATAAGGGACAAGCAGCTGAAACTTTTACTCAGTCAAAACTTAATGCACCTATCATACATTTTCATACAACACATTTTGTTACTAAATTGATTTAAAAGAAACAACTACATTCTTTGGAATTCTACATAGCTAAGTCAATTTGTCATTTTGTTATCTAGCCAATTATCAAACCTAAATTTATTTCCATACCTGTAATTTTCTAAAAATGATACTTGAATCTATACCTTAAACATATTTTCTACTGAATATTTTACTGTTAAAATTCCTTTATCACATGAAAGACAAATAGAAAGCCACTTTGTTTTATAAGTAACCTAAAGAAACTCATGAGAAAAGTACAATTATGACTTCATATAATTTGTTCCAAAGCAATTAGTGAGTTCAAGAAAACTGAAAGAAAAATCAGAATAAACATGGGTGGGAATACAATCCAACCGTAACAGAAAAACTGTTTTGTTCTCTCATTCTCTTAGTACTCCACTGCCCTATTTTAATGGTAGATAGTGACTATCTGTCATCTTAGATGGAGGCAATGTCTCTATGGTGGCAGTTAAGCAGTGGGCACTACAAAAGCAAAGATTTGCCTGAATTGTTCTTCTCCAATACCAGAGGTTAGGTTATTTAGGGAGAGCAACCTCATTTATAGGGACTTAATTCCACTACTAAAAAGTTGAGGCAATTGCTGGATAGAATCTGTAGCATACATTAAGAATGTCTTCATATGGGGTGCCTGGGTGGTTCAGTCGTTAGGCATCTGCCTTCGGCTCAGGTCATGATCCCAGGGTCCTGGGATGGAGCCCTGCATCGGGCTCCCTGCTCCGCGGGAAGCCTGCTCTCCCTCTCCCACTCCCCCTACTTGTGTTCCTTCTCTCCCTCTGTCTCTCTCTGTCAAATAAATAAATAAAATCTTAAAAAAAGAAAAGTGTCTTCATAATGATGGGCAAAGTGATGCCACATGATACATAATGTATTGTTTGTTTATTTATAATTTTCATATATTCCTTTAAATTCTAAGAAATGATTTAAAAATTCATCAATACAAAATGTTAAAGAGTATCACATATTTTACTTACACTAAAGTATATTTCAGTTGAATGAATGACAAAGCAAAATTTTATAAAAATTAACTATTGAGAAAAATATTTTCAACCCATGGAAATAAAGTGAGTGCCTACTTGGGCCCCTACCACTTGCCAAGCACATATCAAGTAATAATAATACTAGGGTGGAATAACACAATCATTGTTCTTATAAAGCTAACAGTCTACATAGTTTACTTCTTCACTATATATCTAAGAACCAAATCATCTCCCAGTTTTTACTGTAATAGCAACTACAATACCAGCATATAATAAAATCCAATTCTTGGTATTAATTCCTACAAGTCATCAAATATGTTCAAATTGTCTTTAAAAGAAAAAACAATCTTTATCACTAAAAGGCATAAAAAAGAGGAAACAGCATTAAAGAGAAAGCATTTAAGAACAATTATCTCAAAAAAGAAAAAAATAAGTCATTACTTCATTCAAAATAAATAAAGATATAAATTTATAGTCCCCTCCCTCTTATATTAGCTGGTCATACAGTATAGCCCTATAATTCACAAAATATGTGCATGTATGTTAGTGTCAACTCCCCCTTCTACCAATAGGTCATGATAAGCAGCTTAGGTTCAGAATCACAAAGGTACATTTTGGTTGTAATGTATTCATGAAACGACATGACCGCTTAGCAAAAAAGGCACTGAAATTTGTCTCATAAGTCCCAGCTCTATCACATAGAACTATAAACTCCCTGGGCAAGACATTTAACCTCACTAAGGTTCAGCTTCCTCTTGTATAAAATTTGGAAGGAAGTTAGGTTAAATAACCTACATGGCCCCCTTCTATCTCTGACACACCATAATAAATATACTATATGTATTTAATAAAATCTACCTTAAGATCACATTAGCAAGAAAAGTACATAAATGATAACATATCACTCTTACTGGTATTAAACAAAAATTTGGTCATATATAAGGATGATTAAACCAGTTGACCAATTGCAGATGGTGGAACGAATGCTTCAGGTAGCATGTAGAATGTTGACAAAATCACTTCCACTTGACTACATACAGAACTGAGAATCTGCAAGGAACTACAGCAAAGAACAAGATGTCTCTCTCCTTGTTGGAAAAGTCTTCACTACATGAATTAGAAGAAAATGTATGACTAATCATATAAATAGCCTCAGTTTAACATTTGTTAAATGAGGATATTATCTGCTCAATCTACCTTAAAATTTAAGGGATCATCTGAGATGTTATACATGAAAATGCTTTTACAACCAATGAAATAAGAAAATACTACTCTCCAGCACATGCAGGCAAACTCCACTAATCTCTCCTGTGTGGCAAAAGCTAGCAAATTGTGAGGCTTATAAAAATATAGTAGAGACAATACGCAAAGGGCTGACTATTGTAGTAGAGAGCAAGCACTGTTGAAAGAAGCACTCAAATTAATGGACAAAACCACATAAATAAAGTACCTTAATATTCTAAAACTTTCCAGAAGCTACCTCTCCTGATAAAATTTATCTCATACACAGTGTTGATTCTGTTATGCATTACTGTATTTAGCAACTTCAAAACCTGCACCATAAGGCTTGAAATGGTGTCTTTACATAATACTATTAAATGCATCTATTATATATAGATGTCAAATAATATGCTGTTATCTAAATAGTTATGACATTCTAAAATGGATATATTTAAGAAATAGGAAAGAACATTTTTTTCTTTTTTTTTAAGATTTTATTTATTTATTTGACAGAGAGAGACAGCGAGAGAGGGAACACAAGCAGGGGGAGTGGAAGAGGGAGAAAGAAGCAGGCTTCCCGCCGAGCAGGGAGCCCGATGTGGGACTCGATCCCAGGATGCTGGGATCATGACCTGAGCCGAAGGCAGACGCTTAACAACTGAGCCACCCAGGCGCCCAAGAAATAGGAAAGAACATTTTCAAAAGAAAAGAAATCTTAGAAATTAAGAACAGTTCTGGCCTCTGTGTAGCATGTGTATTTCTTCACCACGGGTCACCGCTCATCTGAATTCAACCTTTAAAACAAACCTTCATTTTGAAGCATATAGCATATATTATACCATCCTCTTCCAACAATCCTTTTCAGAATCTAATTACTTTCAGGTCAACAATCCCTAATAATCTCAAAAGATTTTCCTCTTTCAGCTCATCCTAGATTTCAACATTCACACTTAACCTACTCAACACATAGCCTTCACACTCCACTCCTCTTTAGTCTATCACTCCAGTTCAACAAAAATAACGACTGTTAAAATAATTTAGTAACAGTCCACCTTTGGACTCTTAAAATACCCAAGCACCTTCTCTGACCACTTACTTCTACCTTCTACCTCTCTTTAAATCACTTTATTGATCTCAAAATGATTTGCATCTTCTTGATAACCCATTCCTGGTTGCGCTTTCCTTCCTACTCAGTCTGAACCTGACTAGTCATTTCCACTTTCGCCAATCATCCTCAAATCCCTTGCTCCATGGTCACATGTTTGGCAAATGTTAGATTAAACGAATGGATTTTCTTAGAGCAGAACTTCCTCAGTCTTAAAAAAGAGATTTAGTATATTATTATTTCCCGAACATAAATCCTGACCCTAGGACCACCATGAATCTGCCAAATCCAGAGGCACCTGGCTGGCTCTATTGGTAGAGCATATGACTCATAATCTCAGGGTCATGAGTTCAAGCTGTATGCTGGGCATGGAGTCTACTTAAAAATAAATTAATAATAATAATAGCCAAATCCAAAGCCCTCTTTTGAATCCTCATCTACTAGACCTTTCTATAGCATGAGGCACTACTGATCAATCCCTTCCACCTTTAAAGTGCTTTTTCTCTTGGCTTCAATGACATTTCTCCCTCCTAAGCCCAAGTTTTTCACATCTCAGAAGGTAAGCAGCATTTGACCTGGTATTTAGACCTCCAGGTATACCTGGTGCTATAGGTTTTTTCTGACACATATTCACTACTCAGTAAATATTTTCTCATCACTTTCCTTTCTTGATAATTTTTAAAACCCTTTACAGACTTCTTCCTGCTCAACCCTAAAGCATCAATTCCTCCCAAGCTTCTTTTCTCATTTTATTACATAAAACTTTCCTAGGTGAATGTATCCACTTGCTGTCACTTTTATGTCATGACTACCAAGCTAAAACTCCACATAAACATTTACAAGTAGCTATGAGACATTTCTATTAGATAGCCCCCAAACTGTACAAACACATTTCTAAAGCCAAACTCGTTACCTCTTCTCCCACACTTGGTCTTCCTTCTTGGTTAAAAATATTAATATTACCTCTTAGTCAAAGCTAGACAGCCCTTTATCTTTGATTCTTTTTCTCTCTCATATCCAACAGTCATATCTCACCTCTCTAACTCAGAAATATCTTCTAAATCTATCCTCCCTTTTTAATTCCCACTATCTGTGCCTTAGTTCAAATCCTCATCCCATATATGTATTTCCAGTCTCTTCTTTCTCCAGCCTATCCTGCTGCCATAGCCATCTAGTAAGACTGCCCACAATCCCTTCCAAGCATGCTGTTTTACCTCTATTGAATCACTCCTAAGCTCCTAACACACTTCCTATGAGTTTCCCCATCCAATAAACAAGTACTGAGGGGGCCTCCTATGCACTAGGCACTTTACTGAATGCTTTATATATGTGACATCATTTAGCTCCAGTTTTTATAGCTGAGGAAACTGAAGTTCAGATTTACCAAATCACAGAGCTAAAAAGAAACAAAACAATGATCCAAACATAGGCCTCTCCAACACACTGGCTTTTAAAATAACCTAGCATCCAACTCAGCACCAACAAACAATGAATGCCAGATAAATCAATAAAGATGAAGAATTATTCAGTAAACTAGCAAGTGTTTGGATTAGAGAAAAACAAAACAAAAAGGAAACCCTAATGGGACAGGAATGCTTTCTTCAACTAAATCGAGGGTACACTAGAGAAGAGCAATTAGACTTCCAATGAGGTTTTAGAGGGCAGTACACTAAGATCTGCTAATTTAGTAAACCAAAAAAGGAATGGGCAGCCTGAATCTGTTACAACTGTTAATAACCATTATTAAGATGTTATGAAAGAAATGACAACAGTGTATTTATTAAATCTGCTTAAAGTTTATCATCTCTCTATTTTACAGATGAAAAGCTTAAGAGAGATTAGAACTCTCCCAAGTCTAGAACTAATTCTACTGGCCTTGGTATACCTACAGGGCACAAGAGTTAGGTGAAAAGGAATTAAAGGTTTTGCTCCAATTACACACAGAACACAGAAGTGCTCAAAAATAGGTTACACAAAATCATGAGCGATAATTTATATTTAGTTTTTTTTTTTAAGATTTTATTTATTTATTTGACAGAGAGAGACATAGCGAGAGAGGGAACACAAGCAGGGGGAGTGGGAGAGGGAGAAGCAGGCTTCCTGCTGAGCAGGGAGCCCGATGCGGAGCTCGATCTCAGGACCATGGGATCATGACCTGAGTGGATGGCAGACCCTTAACGACTGAGCCACCCAGGTGCCCCTATATTTAGTTTTGAAATACAGTGTTCAGCCTAATACCTCATCTCTTAATGACCAGGAAACATGAAAAGCCCCAGAAGACCAAAAATAATACAAGTGGTACATGCTTTATACACAAATAATTTTTAAAAGAGTATGATAATCTTCAATAGAATTTTTTAGGGGTCCATGTATTTTCTGGTTTTGTAATCAAGATTAGTCCAGTAACTGGTTTCAACTAGAAACATGGGTCTAACACCAAACAGTACAACATTTGCTCAATTACTATGATACGGTGAGCAAATTCCTGGAGATTTTCTACTGGACACTGCAATATAAGCAATATAACATTTATTAGAGACTTCAAAGTGCTAGACTTTAGGGGCACCTGGGTGGCTAAGTCAGTTAAAGCCTCTGCCTTTGGCTCAGGCCATGATCCTGGAATCCTGGGATGGAGCCCCTGCATCTGGCTCCCTGCTCCCAGTGGGGATCTGCTTCTCCCTCCCCCTCCCCCACCCCTTGCTCTCTCTCACTCTCTAATAGATAAATAAAATCTTTAAAAAAAAAAAAGTGCTAGACTTTAACTTCCAATAAGGGTAAAACTTTATCTTATTTATCACTGTATCTATGTTTATTAAATGAAGGCATGGATGAATGAATTAATGAATGGAACCTTAAGATTCAAACTTTTGATCTTTGCAAAATGTGACCTAACAGGGACTGATTTTAAAAAAGAAGAAAGGAAAGAAAGAAAGGCACTGTTCTAACTTCAACAAAAACTCTAGGAGCTTTTATTTTATTAGTTTAAACCACTTGAAATTACTAATATTCAATTGTTTTGCCCTACAAAAAAAACAATTTCATATATTTTAACCTAACCTAATTAGAACTAAACACATTACAGTTAATGATAGTAACTCATTTTGTTAAAAACAAACAAACAATAAAAAAAAAACTGAAAAGTAAGGAGCAAGTACTGTTTACCATGATACATCACAAGCTGGGTCCATAAAACATACCCCTCATAACATATCATATTATATCAGAATACATGTATTTTTCCACCCATGTAATTGAATACTATACAAGGTTTTCATTATATTTTAAAAGCATTCTTAGTAAGATTTCAATAGTAATGTCTTAGTATTGCTAGAATATAAGATTCACTATAACACAGACTCAATGAGAGCAGGGCTTTTGACTTTATTTTTTTTGCTACGTCCCCAGGGCCTAGAATGGTGCCCATCATAGTCAAAGTCATTCATCTAACAACAAATATTTATTAAGTACCTACTCTGTGTCAGACACTTTTAGGTGCTTAGCATACATAAGTAAAAAACAATGTAGATCTTTGCCTTAATTACAAATGTTAAATAAAATAATATATATCTGCAGAAAAGTTGTGTTAAAGCACTTAATGTGTGTTATGATAACTTCACAAGAATTCCAGAACCCATGATCCTACCTACTATGCTACAAGACCACCCACACATTTTAAAATTTATTTAAAAAGTAAGGTGCCTCCCGGAGTCCTCTAAAAAACAGTATCTTGAAAGTAAGGAGTACGATCATTACAATTCCTATTTCGTGGAAACTTAATGATCTCCCTGAAATAAATGAAATGATCAGAGAACAGGACCTTCATTTGTCATTATACTACAGCTGCCCACAAATGGAAAATTATCAGAATTCTTACCTACCATTCTCCAGCTGTTTACTATGAGAATAAAAGGGTGAAAAACTATCATATTCATCATTACATTTATTTTTTGGTATGCTTTGGTACCTGCAGAAGTTACCAGTTATTACTTTTCACTTCATAACACAACCTGAAATAATCTGCTCTCTGGCATGCAACAATACAAGGCTCGATGCCTCTGTTTATTTTTAATTCCACCTGAATCTCTGTAAAATAGGAGGGGGGAAAAAGAGCTAAACCAAAGCAACACGATCTTTCATAGGAAGGATTAACCACAATTTGAAAAATAACCTTGAAATCGTTGTTGCCAATGTTAGCTGGGTTTTTTTTTCTTTGTTGTTTTTAGGCAAATGTTATACTACAGAGGATAAAATGGACAAAAATAATAGAGAAGTGCAAGAACTGGGAACAAAGCAAAATCTGGAGTCATGGTTACAGCACAAGGATTAACTCAAGATAAGGAATCAATGCCGGCTCTTCCTTACTGAGTCGTCATTAATAAGCTCTTAAATCCTTCTGTTAATCTATTGTCCCGGCTCTGAAGCTGGCCAGTGACTCCTCCTTGGGAGATGCTCTTGGCATCCCTCTGACAGAAGATGCGGTAGAAATAGAAAAACGGTTACCTAGGGAAACTGGCCAAGGAAAGTGTCAGGAGCTAGAGGTTGAAAACACACCCCGGGGCCCCAGCAGAGGCTGGCAGTAGGGAGGCCATGGACATTAACGAAGAGCCCACTTTGCAAGAAAAATGAAATCCGCCCGGAGACTGTGATTACCAAAAGGACACTCAGGAGTCAGGCAAGACCAAAAGATGGTAGGAAGAGAGCTGCAGGCAGATGCCAAAGGCAGTAACAGGCTCGCGGTGGGGAACCCCAGCTGAAGACCGTCCGAGGCGGGGCAGCCAGAGGATCATTAGCTCCACGGTGTTGGGGGCTGTAAGGGTACTGCCCGCCAGGGCCTCCCGAGGAGCGGCGGGGTCCACCACTTCGGTCCAGCCCTCGCCTCCCCGGCACCGCTGTCCTGGGCACCCCGGGTGCTCCAAGGCCCGCTCTAACCGCCCGGCCCACACCTCTTCACCTCCTCACCTTCCAGTCCCTCCATTGCGCCACCACCTCTGGTTCCGCGAGATTCCTCCCCCAGCACCCGCCGCCACCGCCGCCGCCGCCGCCGCCGCCGCCGCCGCCGCCGCCGCCACCGCCCAGCTCCGGCTGTAGCAACCCGGCCGCACCTCCCACCCGCTAACATCCCGGACTCCCATTGGCCCGATGTTGGTGGGGCGGGGCTCAGGAGAGGCGGGGCTCACCGGGAGGCGAGCCTCCTGCAGCAGCCGCACGGCGGCTTCCCGACTGTGAGCTCTCCTGGTTGTCCTCCCGGTAAGCCTAAACCGCTTCAGGTTGCCTACCGTAGCTAAACGACGCCTTTGTTCTACTGACTGCCGACTTGTTTCCCTCACACACTATCCTTTCATTTAGAATGTCTCAGCACCTCATGGGCAGCCCTTCACCAGTCCCTCAGTGAGTCAGTGCAGTTCTGTCTTCTCGCCTCTACCTCTCTGAGGGCTCTAAGCAAACAAGCAAACCAAACACACGCCCTACATGCGTATACGCAGCGCACTCTCCATTTTCCGCTAGTCGGTCACGCGACGTTACCTGAGTGTATGCCCTAGACCTGATAGTCACACACACACAGATTTAGGAGTTAAGGCACTCCCCCGCCCCCCAAAATCATACTTTGCGTCTGGGATTGTAGAACGGAGATCGCTCTAAACACTTGGAAACAATTTTCTCAGCATGAAAGCTTGGGCGGAAAATTACAAGTGAAACCCAGCTTCATCTTCATCTACACTGGGCCTACCCAGACCCTATACTTTGTCATCCTTTAACTAAAAGAGTCTGCTGGCTTCATAACTTATGTACTAATACCAAAATTATGTTTGATCAAGGAGTTTAAGGGCGGAACTAAGTTACGGAATGAGGCCTATTTCTGTCAGAGTAAAAACCTTTTGGGGATGAAGGTAACTTCAAAACTAGCTAAAACTTTTATTCAACAGTCTAACACATTTCACTAGAACTAAATTTCTTTGAAAATTTGATTTAGCAGTGATAAACCGTATTTGTTAACTCTAGTAGATCTACTGGCAAGTTATCGGTATTAATATGATTTCGGTAACAAATCTTATAGTAATTTTCTCATTTATCTGTTCAGTTGCAGAGTTTTCACATTATATTTAACTTTGTCCACTGCTAAAAGTATGTATCTTACAAAGCAGTAGCCTTTAGGAAGCAATGGTGAAGGTATTACGCTTCATCACTCAGATGAAGGTATTACAGTTGACCCTTGAATAACATGGGCGTTGGGGTACTGACACCTGCACAGTGGAAAGTCCACGTATAACTCTTGACTCCTCAAAAACTTAGTAGCCTGCTATTGACCGGAAGCCTTACCAATAGCATAAACAGTCAATTAACACCTATTTTGTATATTATATGTATTATATACTCTTCTTACAGTAAAGTAAGCTAGAGAAAAAATGTTATTGGGAAAATCATAAGAAAGAGAAAATACATTTACAATACTGTATTTATACAAAAAAATCCACATGTAAGTGGACTCTCACAGTTCAAACCTGTTCTTTTCAAGGGTCAACTATATAAACTAGAAACAAACACTAGAGGGGGACATCACCTCTCCTTGGAAAAGTTATCTAAGTACAGTTGAATGTGGTATGATTCATCTCTTACACAGTCATGTGAAGGAAAACTTCAACCAGGCCTGTTTCTATTCCTGCCCTTCCCATGGTTCTGCTCTGACTTTTCTGTTCCTCTAACATCTGAGATCCTAGGCCTTAATGGCCAGACCACAGCCACCTCCCACTTAGCCTCCCTGGCCTAAGTGGAAAGGTCCTTTTTCCTTGGTGCTGCTAAAACAAAGCTAGAATTGTGGGGGGGCGGGGGGGGGGGCGTGGATGGGGAGGACTTTTAAAAGAGCACAAAGGAGGAAAAAAATCACACTTGGAAGAAAACCCAAAAATAAAGAAGCAATACTTGGGCACCTGGGTGGCTCAGTCGTTAAGCGTCTGCCTTCGGCTCAGGTCATGATCCCAGGGTCCTGGGTTCGAGCCCCGCATCAGGCTCCCTGCTCGGCAGGAAGCCTGCTTCTCCCTCTCCCACTCCCCCTGCTTGTGTTCCTGCTCTCGCTGTGTCTCTCTCTGTCAAATAAATAAATAAAATAAAAATAATAATAAAGAAGCAGTACTTTACAAATTACAAGTTCTTGAACTGAAGTCAAGCCAAAGAGTGAGTTGGCTAATACATACTCTATTATGTATAATAACTATAGTAACAACAAAAACAATAAGGCAATAATAATGATAATAATACAATTTTAAAAATCATGTTAGGCATATTTTAAGTCCTTTTCATATGTTCACTTATTTACTCTTCAAAACAATTCTTCAGAGTAGATACTATAATTTTCATTTTTCAGAATTCTTTATTTTCTAGATGTCTCAGATTAATTTTTTTACCATACTTATACTACTAGTGTATGTCTGATTTTACCTATGGCAATTTCATGGGACTCCTCACTTCCCTTCCTCACCTTGCCTTCTAGCTGCCTTAAATATAATTCTAATTGTTCAGACATGTTGTTGAAGGTATACTTGGGTAGGCATTACTACTGTGAATCTTAATTCTTTAAAACATGCCTGCTAATCTCCTGTATAGATAATAGGCTCTCAGCACTTTTATGCTACAGCTATCCTGGCTCCTGCAGCTTTTTTCCTGGTCCTGACCTCTGGGCAAAGAGGCCATTTTCTTATCCGCCTTCCTAAATTCCATCCTCTGCCTCCTATATGCCTGGCCTGAGAGTCTGGTCTTGGTATTCTCTTCTGACTTTACTTCCTCTTGATTTATTCCATTTTTCTGATGCATCCATTCAACAAGTATTTGTTGAGTACCTACTATATTTCAGGCCCATTTCTTTATTAGCCAGTTACTAAAATGATTACTAGCCAGTTATTAAAATGAGTGGAGCTCAGTTCCTTCTCTGTTCATATTTTTTTAGCTGCCAAGTGATCTTTTTAGCTGATGGTAACATTCATAGATGAATACAAAATAAAGATTTTCTCACCTCTTTCTCATACAAAAAAGAAAGCAAAGGTTCAGAGATGTTTGTTGACTCAATACAGGTGACAAAATTAGTAAGTAGCTGAAATAGATATTGGACCCTGTCTTATTACATCATATCCCTGATTCTTTATGCCTTGCATTACTTTCTCTTCAACCATTATTTCCTGGAGCCAATCCACTTATCTTTTGCACCTTCCAAAGGACTGAGCAAGCCACATATATCTTCTTGTTTCAAAGCTCCAACCTCCTGTTGGATCTTACCCAAAGATCAATTTCCCTTTCAGAGACATTTGGCTCTCATTGAAATCATTTTCAGAGAATAGCTAAATGTGATTCTAAATCTCAGTGAGAATCCAACTCAGTTTATCAACTCCCACTATGTAAGGCATTTCTTCTCTCCACAGCCTCCAGAGGAATGGCCCACTATAATTTAGTAATTCACACATTTAGTAATCATAACAAAATGATAATTTTCATCAAAAACAAACGAAGCATATTTCCCCTAAAAGGGGAGAAGGAGCTGTTGAAGTTTTCTAGATTGAGGAAGCACATCCTGAGTTGGCTCTTACTAGTTTTATTTTGTAGATTGAAGTAAAAACAAATTTCTTTAAGTTTTCAGGGAAAAATATAGTGATAGTCCTAAATAAGGAAACACTGAGAAGAGGGGGGGGGGAAAGGAGGAACTTAAAGCAAGCTTCATCTCCTTCATTGATTGGAAGGCTACTCCATTCACAGTATGATAGTGATTATTCTACTCTTTCTCCTCTAGTTCCAAAAGAATCTCCAGTTCCGAAAGGAATCTCTATTCTCTCCACCTTCAAAATTAATTCTCAGCAGCAATAAGATACATTTTTTCAACCTTCAGTTAGGATCCCATCTATCCATCCCTTGCCACCACAATCCCAAATCTTATCTGAAAATTTGTTAATCCAAATACTCTCACATATACAACTCTGTTCTCGGCACAGAGGGGGACAATGGCATAAGACTTAAAAAATTAATGGAAGTCTGGCATGTTCTGGGATAGTCAGTAAAGAAACAAGAGTAATTAAATATATTTATTCATGATGTAATATTTTTTCCTAACTTACAAAGCATAGGCACTATAGTTATATAATTCATATATTTTTAATCTCAGATGCAGGGTGTTGAGTTAATAATACTTACCAGTGTACAACACATGTGTCAACTGCCTACACAAAGGCATCTTTCTTCCCCCATTTTATTACTTAGACTTTCATCCACCATTTTAACTCTATTTACCAACCTCCTCACTATAAGCACCATTATATTGCATTTAAGTTCCAAAGCTCACAGGTATCTTTGGATATATGTGGTTCCTTGAAACATATGTGGTATTGTTTTATATGTGCATCTATTCTTAATTTATATACATGACAGTATACTGTAGCCTTCATTCAATTTGTAATTTTTAAATAAATATTCATTTAGAGATTCACCCATACTCCTGTATATAGCTAGTTTATTGCTTCTGCATGCTGAATTACTGTATGTATACACCACATTTTGTTTACCCATTTCTATAGTGATGGACACCCAGTTGCTTCTAACCTGCTGCTACAATGAACATCTTTGTGCCTGTCCCCTTATGAACCTGGGCTCAAGTTTCTCTGGGATGCATTCCTGGAATGGATTACTGGATCATATTCATTTCTAGTAAGTATGCCCAGATTGTTCTCTACAATGGCTGTACCAGTATTCACTGCCATTAGCCATGTGCAAGAGCACTCATCTTGCTATAACTCATTAATAGCTGGCTTACCTCAAATTTTTACCAATCTGTTGAAAGTCAAGACTTGAGCATCTCTTTATATACTTGCTAATTCAGATTTGATTTTCAGTGAACTGCCTAGTTTTATCCATATTTTATATTGGGATTCTCATTTATTCTTATGGATTTGTAAATTCCTTGTATATTTTAGATGTTAGCTTCTTGCTGTTTTGGTTATTTTGATAATCTTTTTCCAGTTTGTGACAT